AGTTCAACCCTGAGCTACATAAATGAAACATTCCCTTTCTTTTCTCCTGGCCACACAAGCAGATTCTTGACTGAGAACTGCATTTTCAGATATCAGATTTATTTATTTGTTTGTTTAATTTATATGGCCACCCATCTCACTTATAAATTTAAAAACAAAAACAACACAAAAAATAACAAAAAACAACAAAAATCAAAACATTAAAAACAATAAGAACTATTAAAAAACATAAAAACATAATCTGCAGGACAGCACTATCAATTTCCCTAGTAGTACAACCACGTTTTTCAATCTTGCAAGGAATTAATTACAAAATATCTGCTTTCTCTTTCATTTTTTTGTGCCACAGCTTGCTAACTCATGGACAACAACTTTAAAATGAAAGTAGCCATAATACTATTTATTATGTTTTTGCCTTTCAAGCTCACTTGTAATATCTTTAATTTGATTTATATGCAGATTTAGATTCTCCCCTTCCTCCTGACCCGTGTTGCGTAGCTTTCTGAAAACATGCACTTTGGAAACTGTATCCCATATCACATCTGAACTGGTTTTGCAAATAGCTTTGGCTTAATCAAAATCTTTGAATTCACAATAAATGAGTCACACTCTGCCAGAAAGATTATCCCAATTGCTCTGCCATTTGCTGCATCCTGGGCTCCTTGTCCTTGTCCTTTGTCCTTGACTTTGGGTCTTTCCTTGTCTAGCATAAAGATGATACCTTGAGACTTCAGGAGCATTTTCATTTTTAATTATGAGTGGGAGAATTCTGGCCCTTCTAGCTTCTCCATGGGGTGAAACTTTCCTGGTAGCATTTCTGAAAGCTTTTTGCATCTCTCATCTTTATTTAGCTGCTCAGAAGACTCAGCTTTTTCTGTGCTTTATGGAACTTCTTCATAGTGTACTTAATTCTGTTGGGATGTTTGAAGAATTCTCTCTCTGTGTGAGAGCATTTCTAAGAATGGGAATCTAACCTGACCAAGGATTAGTCAAGCAACTTCTATAATGGTAACAGGAAGGAGTTTATTTACAGGACATTTTAGGGATAACCTAAACCAATGCCTAGCTAACTACATCCTAGCAGAAGAGAGGCAAAAAAAAGCAAGTGTTCTGGGAAAGCAGAAGGAAGTGCCCTTAGATTAATAATCTCTTAATGAGTAGGTACAGTAATAGACAAAGGATATAAATTCTTAACTTATGAAGTGCTGAAGAGTCAATGCAATTGGATTTGTACTTCCAAAAGTTCAGAAGTGACCTATCTTTTCGAATTTGCAATCTGATTTTCTTTTCCTCCTTAACAATTCTGCTTCTGCCATTGTGGGTCAT